GGCGCTGCGGGGGCCGCCGGCAACGCTCCGCTCGCCCGCGCCGCCCTGGCCCCCGCTGCAATCACTCGCGCTGCAGAGCCGGGTGGGCTGCGGCTCCCTGGGCGCTCGGCTCCTGTCAGGAGCAGTCTTTATATACCACCTTAACCCCAAACAGCGAGCCTTGGCACTCCTCGGGGGCTACATTTCTACTCCCTTTTTGAAACAACAATTGTTAGTAAGAAGGAAATTTGCATGGAAATAGGAGTAGGTCTTCCCACATGTGTCTGCTCCCGCTGCAGCCGCCACATGGGACACCACAAGCCTTTAGTTGCAATGTGGCAACTGGATGCAACAGGAAAATGCTCTTGTCACACAGAGGATGATGGTGTCTGTGGGCAGGCAGGAGCCTGTGCACACCATCAGCCGCACCATTTGGAAATAATAATAATAGGTGAAGTTGAGGCAAAAATCAACAGAGGTGTTATTTACAGAAAACTTTCCCAGCTCAATGCTTTCTGTGGATCTGTCAGGCCGCCTTCCACCCAGCAGCAGTGCTGCTACAGAATTCCTTTGCAATACATTAGTCTCACCAACGAAGCAACACACTGGAAAAGGCAGGAACTGCCGGGTGCAAAGCTGCCTTACAGAGGTATCCTCTGTAGGGCAGTAGTTAGCAGGTTGAGACGCTGCTGCAAGGAGCGGTACAGGAAGGCCCTACAGAGGCCGGCTGGTGTGCTTACAGCTCGGCTTAACCACCTTACCCCAGCAGAGTCCTCTCTGGGAGGTGCAGGAGGGTCCAGCGCTGGTCTGTCAGCCAGGTGCCGAAAGGTCGGCCGGGTTCACTGTCACAAAGCATCCAGGCAACCCCCGAAAATCACCGTCCGGTGTCTCTCCCCACTGCCTGTAAATGGAGGATGAAACATGGCCCCATGTCAAAGAGCACAGGGAGGCTCAGTGTAATGGCAGTCATGCTGGAACTTCATCTAGACATGAGGTATTGTCTACGCAGAATTAGTACTAAAAACAATTATTAATTTCTAGCAAAAAGTCTCTAAATGAAACATCCTATCTCCGGTAATTACTGCTATTGGGACAGTTCTCTTAAGTCTCTAGTGCTCTTTAAAATAGAAGTTACAACTAGATTTTAGCACTCCAGCACTAAAGTATTCCCATTAGATTACACTTTTCAATCCAAGTTGTATCTTATGTAAGTGTAAGGAAACACATGCAGATGAGCCATTGTTAAACACTGGGTGAAATTTATAAGGGCTTAGGAAGAAATGAGATCCCAGATTTTCATTTGAACACCACGACCGATAAATCTGCTAGATTTTGAGATGGCTGCATTACTCACAAGTTGTGGAGCCCCAGTGAGTTATGCAGTTCTTCCCAAACAAGTAACAATAAAATGTTTATAGCACCCAAAAGCATCATATATTGTGTTCAAACCATTTATTTTGTTTGATATTTTCCTCTTAAAAGTCTGCTTCTGATTTCCCTCTTTCATGTAGGCTAGTAACTCCAGAAACCATGATGTCATTCTCATACACAAAGTTCAGCTACATCCAGAAACACAGTATAAACCCAGTTTAAAGCTTTGAAATTTATATTATGATTTGGGAGATACAGGCATATACGTAAGGTTTACATACATGGTTGGACTATACACCGCAGCATAAAAAACGCAGAGCAGATTTTAGGATTGCAATGTGTGTGCTGGTGGTTATAAACATATAAATATTTAGAAATGACAGAACTATGAAGAAATCAGCCATTAAGTTAATTCCAGCTACATGAGCTATTCATTGTCAATGAATTGTTTTAACTGTAAGATAAAAATTTTTTTGGCCTTTTTCTTTAGTTATACAGATGGAGATATTCCAGTAGATTTTGTTACTGATTTATATTTGTGGTAAGTATAGTGCCTGTTTATGAAAGAACATACTACAACATGACCCATGAAAGATAAACAGACCACAAAGGAAAATACAGTTATGGCTGAAAATGTGCTGTTTTCTTTACTGCAGCACCTTCCATCTAGAAGTGGTGGATGGCGAACGTGCTGGAAGTGTAGAGAAGGCCTGTGCCCTTCTCACGTACACCCACCCACCCAAGTACACGGCAGCTTGTCTAGGAGATACTGCAAAACCAAAGCTCTGGGATCAATGCTTTTATTTTTACTGAAATGCTGTGGAATCCTTCCCTGCTAATTCTATATGCTGCTCTGAAACGTGGTATTTCGAAAGTGCTTACAGGTGTGACTCACCTAAGATGATCACTTAAGCAAATACTCAATCCTTATTTATACTCAAGGTAAAATTCCACTGAACACAATGATAGAGTAGTTCTTTGCTGCACAGGGAGTTAAACATCAAGTACTGCATCAGTGCCAGTTTAGACCAGCATGTTTCTTACATCAGAGAAGATCTGAGCGGAGTTAAAATAAGATCTACACTTTCCCTGGCCTTTCCATTGGAAACAACAGTGGAAAGAGATGAGAAATCCAAAACATACAGGTTACTGCTACCTCCTGTTACCTACTGCTGCTGCCTGCTTATTCTCTGAGCTCAGCTAGACTATGTGTTTGTCCATTATCCATCTTTCCAAGTTGAATTTTCCACTCTCATGCCAGACATCCCTAGGCTTTCCTACATCTCATCTGGGATTCATCATGGTAGGTCTGACTAGCTCCAGGAGCAGAACTCTGTTTCCTGTGAGGCAGTGAGAGTGACAATCTGCAATCACTGAGCTGCCTAAAAACTAAATGTTTACATAGAATGAAAGCATTTTAGAGGAGAAAAACATTTGTATTTTTCTCTCTAACCCATGGACTGCGGGAGATGCATTTCAGACTTCCTCTCTCTGAATTCTTCTAGGCAAATGCAAAACAGAAGACCTCCCTTAACCCACTGAAAAAGTTCTTTGACACTTTGGTGTCTATCTGATCCTTTGCATCCTACTTTGGAAAAATAAATTTTGCAATCCACTCCTGGCATAAATCCTACCCTCAGTCATCTAATGGCTTAACTTGCAGTTATTCAAGTGTACGCTGGGACTCGCTGGCTCTCCCCTGTTTGTACAGCCCCCAGTAAGTCACATGGAACCTCTCTTACTGCACTCTGCCAAACGTCCCTTGCTCCGCTACCAAGCGTCAGAGGGCGATACTCCATCTCTGAATTCGTAACATTGTACATCGCCTTTGTGTCCAGTGCAAAGGAGGTTACATCAGCCACATAGTTAATCATCACAAGCAGTTTGGGTATCCATTTAATAATCATACCAAAAGCTGCAGGAACTCCAAAATCAACTGACTGAAGGTCATGTTGTATGTAAATCTGCATTGATGCAAGCTAGGACTTAAAAGAGTGGTGGGAAAAACAAACCACATCTTAGGCGCTAAGAGATGGAACGTCAACATGGACTCCATGTGTTTTATTTTTTCAATATCATTTCCTTCATTCTGTGCTTGACACTAGACAGAAGACCAGCTTCAGCAGTGGCTCAAATTCTGCTCATTTATATTAGCATAAAACTGAAATATCTAATGACTTTCCACTCCAGATCTATGTCAGACTGAGCAGAACCTCTCCTGATACAAGCAAATGGAAAGACTATGTTTGGCATTTTCAGAGGAATCCAGTTGATCAAGGAATATAAGTTGCATTGATTTTCAGTGATTTTCACATGACTAAGGCACTTCAGGTACATTTGAAAGGTCTATTGTTTTTGTACCTTTCCTTACACTAGCCTGTATTTGTGAAGGCATTAACTTTTAATTCTCTCTACAAAATAAATCACACTGAGGTCAGACTTGCACTAGCTAAGTTACCTAAGCTTGATCTACACTCAACCACTTGTCTATTCAAGGGACCTAAGCCAGCACTTATGGTAGGACACTGCTAGCGAGAGACAAAGATTAGATAACTCCTTACAGATAACAAGAAATAAACACAAATTTTGCAAATGCAGTTGAAAAGTATTTTACCATTGGTTGCTGCTGGCCATTGGATGCCTAAATATTTACCTTAAGATCTAACAATAAAATTCTGCTTTATATCCCACAGGGGCGATGCCTTCCCTGCAGAGAAGCTAAGAGTGGTGGCTTTGGTTTGATGTGGAGTGAGCTCTCCTGTTACAAAGCCATACTGGCTTACAGCAAGGTGCAGTACTCCATGTTCACCTGGGACTTCTGAGGGCCTGGCTCTGGTTCCCAGCGCAGCAGTCTGTCCCTTTCCCAGGCTTTCCAAGTAACTGCAGAATACAGGCACTAAGGGACTAAGCCTTCAGACAGTTTAGCCAGCATCCACACGGTTACCAACAGTGAGAGCAAGCAGCGCTTAGGCTTAGCTCTTAGACCTCTATGATGGGATGAGTCCACTAGCTTGGGTGTAAATTACTAACACACGCCTGAGCTCAAGGTTTATGTATTCGCAGTTAGAAATCAGATGAAGAGCAACATCTGAGTTAATAATGAAGTGAGGACAAACTCAGATATAGTGAGAGTACAGC